TGAGAAGAAGTTTGAATCGATCTTTTTACCATGGTGGAGTTCACTGAATTGCAAAATATTCAAATGCAAAGAACTTTGTTAGTCAGAATAACAGAGCGGGAAGGGATCTTGGGGGGTCTTCTAGTCTAAATCCCTGCAACCAGTATAACCAGTTTAACAACTGCTGCGATGAATGCGTGTCTTGCACGCACGCCTAACATGCTTGCGCACAACATTCAAAATACAGCAATTTGAAGCTCAGCTGCTTACCTTCTAAGGCAGCCCTGGTAGAACAGTGGAGGCACAGAAATCAGCTGTGCCACACGAATCAGCTGAGCAATAAAGAAGGAAATATAGGACAGGATAGGGTGGGGGCTGATGGGTGGGGCCAGCTGATTGTCAGAACTATTGGTTCACCCAAACCAGTCCAAACTGGCAACAGCCCACCACTGCCCTATACCATCCCAAACAATGTCAACTAGCTTTATTATCATACTCTCTCACAGGATACCATTCACTTCCGTAGGATAGGATTTTCACATTAACCAAGCTCCTAACTGATGGCAGTTAAATGATATTATGGCTTATTTTTGCTTAACACAATATGAGAACCAAGCTATATAACTTAGCATGATTGGTGAATCTGGCTGTTATGACTCCATTAATAAATCATTATTAAAAGTTGTGATTTAATAGCATGTTATTAATCTGACATTGTCTGCTAACTATGTATTTTGTGTGGCAATTCTTCAAGAAATTAATTCAAGGTCCCACATTTTCAATTCGTTCTCACTGAACAAGGTTATTGGACTGATCAACTGCTTGCCATCCACCACATACTTGTTTTATTTGTTCTTGCAGTCTCTTCAACCTCCTATATGCTTTCCATCCTTCTTGCTACAATTCTATCCCTTTCAGGAGGTTCCACTGATTTGTTGACTGCTCAACTTCCTTGTTGTGGTCCACTGGCGGCTGCGGAGCTGGCAGCAGAGTCAGGCAGTGAGGACGTTGGGGAGGAACATAGGCCAGTCCTGGAGTCTGGGGAAGGCTCAGATGAGGGCTCTGAATTGGAGGCAGAGAGGGGGCCAGGGCCATTGGGGAGTTATGTGCTGCCTCTGGAGCCTCCAGAGTCGGACATTGGTGAGGCAGAGGAACAGGGCCTGTTCCCGGTGCGTGCATGTGCAGAGCTGCCAGAAGGCAAGAACAGTTAAGACAAAAGGGATGACTCGGGAGTAGGGCTGGGAGATTATTGGCCCCTCCCATAAGACATAAAGGAGGAGCAAAGGTATGTGAGCAGGAAGCAACTTTGTTCGTTCTGGTCAGTTTAAATTCTGAAGTTCCGTTGTGACTCTGTGCTCCGTGTGGCCTTGCAAAGCTAATTGCCAATTAGGTCTTTGGCAGTGTGTCAAGGGAGATAAAGGTGGGTTAGCCTTATCCCGAAGGACTGGCAGACTTCTGTCAGACTCTTTACAAACTATTTATGACTTGTTATGGGCTGTGAATGAACATAATTCACAGCCGTTGAAATAAAAAGAGGGTTACTATCTCAGGAAGCCTAGGTCAGAACACTCCTTTGGAAGAGGAGCAAATTGCAAATATTGCAAATTCAGTGCAATAACTATTCATAAACCAGTTCCTTAATAAAACCTGGCTTATAGAAATATGACCTACAGTATCTATAACAAATGGGGGAAACACATTTTTTTCCTTCTCATTAAACTTAAACTTTCATTTCCCAATATGAACTCATCAGCTCATACTCTATTCTTTCAGAGCTATTACAATATAGCCTTCCTTGTTTTCTTAATTTCATAAATATAGAATATAAAAGTTTATTTCATTCATTAATTCATGCTCATTACTTCTTATTCCTCTTACGTTCCAAGGTACAGTGTTCCATGTGCCATGATCAAATTCATTGACTTCTGTTGTTTATTATGGCTTTGGTCAATTGTAGCTTTGACATATTTTTAGTTAGTTTAGTTTAGTTTAGTTTTATTAAATTTGTATACCGCCCTACTCCCGAAGGACTCAGGGCGGTGAACAGGCACAAGATAAAATACAGAAATACAAAAGTTAAAAACAATTTAAAACCAAATTAAATAATATTGGCCCACGACAATTAAAATCCCAATAAATTTAAAACAAATTAAAATTTCAATTTAAAATTTAAAAAGAAAGGGGAGAAAAATTAGGCCAGGCCGGCTTGCTGGAATAAGAGGGTCTTAAGAGCACGGCGGAAGGTGCGCAGATCCGGGATCCTCCGTATCTCCGGGGGGAGCTCGTTCCAGATAGTGGGTGCCCCCACAGAGAAGGCCCTCCCCCTAGGGGCCACCAGTCGACACTGCTTGGCTGACGGCACCCGGAGGAGACCCTCTCTATGAGAACGTACCGGCCGGTGGGAGGCTATTTGTGGTAGTAGGCGGTCCCGTAAATAACCAGGTCCTAAGCCATGGAGCGCTTTAAAGGTGGTAATCAAGATGTTTATTTTTAGTAATAAAGATGTACATTAAGTTACAGCTTTAATTGTACCCATATTGGCTGTTCTGCTCCCTGCTAACAGTAATGATAATATCTGTTAGTTTGGTACAATTTGGCCATGATGCCACTTCTGCCTCAGAGGTGGGTTTGCTACCGGTTCTGTGGTTGTAGCTTGGTGGGCGTGGCATGGTTTGGTGGGCGTGGCTTGGTGGGCGTGGCAGGGGAAGGATACTGTAAAATCGCCATTCCTTCCCCACTCTAGGGGAAGGATACTGCAAAATCCCCATTTCCTCCCAATTAGCTGGGACTCGAGAGGCAAAGAATAGATGGGGGCGGGACCAGTCAGAGGTGGTATTTAATTTCTGCTACCAGTTCTCCAGAACTGGTCAGAACCTGCTGAAACCCACCTTGGTTCTGCCTCCATTTCTTATCTCTTCTTTGGTACCATGTTGAACAATGATGGCATATTTTGGGTTGTTTCTCATAAAATAAAAAAAATAAACGCATTCCTTTAATTTAGGTTTAAAGTGATTTCTGAGCTTTTCATTACAGTTCAGTATTAGGCATAACCAGGCTATTGTGGATTGTTCAACTAACAGGGATAAAAAAATCCTGACATCTTTTTATATGTAAACCAAATCTGCCCACTTGGTGTTGATGCTCTGTTATTTGAGACTTAGTTAAGGAAATTCCCCACATGAGGTAGCCGGTTGAAAGATAACAGTAATAAGGAATTCTTTATGCTGGTGCTATTTGGTCATGTGGGCAATTTTGGGAAAATTGGGGAAATACATCTATGTAGTAAGGGTGTTGAATGACATCCTATCAAGCATCAAGTTGATGTATAGTATATACCTTGAGTAGGGTCTGTATATAAATAAAATCCCAGGATCTGAGCCAATAATGTGGTTAAACCCAGTTTTCCCTATGTATAACTTCTGTAAATTGGAAAGGTCCCAAAAGCATTCAGAATATTACCACAGCTATTTCTGATTATTTTATTTTTAGTGTGAATATTTTATATACACACAGAAACAAACATGGAGTCAATTCCCCAGAGTTATGAGACCAACACAGAAAACACTTCTAGACATACCCTTGAAGAACAGAAAAATGGTCTAATCAAAGGTAAGCACAGGCATATTTTATGTAATGTGTGTTTGTGGGTGTGCTTTTCTTGGGAATTGCTGTTTCTGTTGTTCACTTTTTATAGAGAATCCAATAAGGCTACTTCCAAATTACTTATTTCCAGCATTTTCTGTTCTGTGGTTTCTTTCAACCTGATCTCCAATTACTTTTCCTTTTATTAATAAGAGTTTAAGTCAGGGGTGAAATCCAGCAGGTTCTGACAGGTTCTGGAGAACCGGTAGTGGAAATTTTGAGTAGTTCGGAGAACCAGCAAATACCACCTCTGGCTGGCTCCAGAGTGGGGTGGGAATAGAGATTTTGCAATATCCTTCCCCCAGGAGTGGGGAGGGAATGGAGATTTTGCGGATATCCTTCCCCTGCCATGCCCACCAAGCCACGCCCACAGAACTGGTAGTAAAAAAAAAAATGAATTTCATCACTGGTTTAAGTACTACTGCAGCACCCTGCTGGCCAAAATGGGGCATGGGGGGACCCCGCACAGGGCACCCTGTGCTCTTTTTTCGGTCTGGACGGCCTCCTGCAGCACTCTGCTGGCCAAAACATGGGCCAGATTTAAATATCCCATGTGCCATTTTGGCTGCTAGAGGCACAGCGGTCTGATCCTTTGCTATTTCCAGGCCAGCCCTGTGAGCCAGATTTAAGCACCCCACAGGCTGGATTTAGCAGACGGACCTTGAGTTTGATACCCCTGGTCTAAGGCATTTAACTGGAACAAAGAAAACACAGAATCTATGTGAAACAATTGCCCTTTTGGGCATTCACATGTCAGAGAGGGAGTCTCACTCTGTATCTTTTATGGATGCTAACTTTGTCATTCATCTCTAACTGCTCCAGTGATGGGTTTCAAATTTTTTTACTACGGGTTCTGTGGGCGTGGCTTGGTGGGCGTGGCATGGCATGGCATGGCTTGGTGGGCATGGCTTGGAGGGCATGGCAGGGGAAGGATACTGTAAAATCTCCATTCCCTCTCCAATCCAGGGGAAGGTTACTGCAAAATCCCCATTTCCTCCCGAACAGTTGGGACTTGGGAGGCAGAGAATAGATGCGGGCGGGGCCAGTCAGAATTTTTACTACCGGTTCTCTGAACTACTCAAAATTTCCACTACAGGTTCTCCAGAACTGGTCAGAACCTGCTGAAACCCACCTCTGAACTGCTCCCACCAGAATAAGTGCTGACGCTAGAACTTCCTGCTTAATTGAATCTTTGCAATTTTAACTGAAGGAAAGGAACTTGAAATATACAATGTGGAAAATGAATTTTAAAACTTTTTATTTAGCCTCCCCCCCCCCACCTTTTAAAGTCATGCAACTTATAATGATTCTCTTTCCATCACCACCTCTTTATAAAAACCAACGTACATCTTGCTCCTTTTGCTTCTTTCTTGAAGAATTTTGGCCTGAATGCTTGCCAAGTATTACAGAAGAAAGGGAAGAACAATCAAGGGAGGAGAACATTCCTTTGTCTCCCTCAGGATTAGGGACAAATGTGAAGACTCAAATTGTAGATGAGAGGTGAGAGCTTATGCACAAATCTTTTTTTTTTATCCACAGGTATAAAATGGAGCTATGATTTAAACTGTGTTATGCATGCTCTTGTCAAAGAAAAAGATGAAGGAGTTGTCCTTTAAGAGTTAGAAGGCATTCCTGTTATCTTTATAACTGTTGTAAGTAGAGTTGGCAGAATTGCATCTAAAGCATGCAAATAATGAATTTTATGTTAAAAGTTTTAAAATGTATAACCCCATAAGTTATTCAAGTGCAGACCTAATATGGCACTTTTGCCCTGTTACTGCCTGACAACTGGTTGTATGCAACCCAGAGTCACTTTGGGGAGATGGGTGGCCATATAAAATATACTAATTTAGTTCTGATACAACTAAAAACAGTTGTATGAGAACTCTTCCTTTTTTCAGAATTTCAGGTACAAATCTGGCTCTGAACCTGTGAAATAAACTATATCTGGCTGACCCAGGAATGTTTTTCAGTCTTTCATGCCATAACAAAATAAACATTAATTAACCGGGAGGAACAAAATAAGCTTGTTTTCTGAAACTTTCTATAAAGTATGGGTGGGGAATGTCTTGTCTATAGGCATAATTTTGTCTACTAGGTGAGCTCTTCTCTTCCCTGAGAACTTTTCTGGAGAGGGTCAGGGGAGAAGATGGCTGAGAAGAGCATAAAACATGCCTGCAGTTAATTGGGAATCAACAAATTGCCCATTCATTTTATTCAAATATGCTTTGTTATTCCTGTCTTAGATCCATCAGACCTGGAGTTGGAAAAAGACAGAAAAACATGGAAAAATCCTTTGAAGATCTGAAAGCAGATTCTTCAAGAATTGAGATACAATACCAGGTACCATGAGCTAAGTGAGAAACAATGCCATGGAGAATTTAATAGGGAAAATGTTTTCTTAATTGTTGTAGAAAAATACTGTTTGCTTTACCAAAACATCTTATATCTCGCTGCTGAACAAATAATAATTTTCCTCCTCATTGACCATCTGTACTACTATAAAACATTTTATTTATTTATGTTATTTATATGCCGCCCATCTCACTATCCAAAGTGACCTGCATTTCCTATTATAGCCTACTGGCTAAAAATGACCCAGATGGATGCCAGCAGACTCCCCAAAATATGTCTAGAGGAACAGCAGATTTCAAATCCTCAAAGGTATTCCTGGCTAACCCGGCTGTCAGAAATATTGAACCGATATGGCGTAGGGTTCCCGTTGTGTGACACACTGAACCAAGTTAAACAACGGATTAAAGATATACATGGGCAAATGGACATGGCAACCCTTTCAACTAATCATTCCCTTAAACTGCTGACAGCAGTTAAAACAACTTTCACTCTGGAAAAGTATTTACATTTAGAAATGCCATCAGTGGAGAGACAGTTATTTGTTAAGTTTAGATTCGAACTTCTAGATACAAACGTTAGATTCGGCCGTTATCGGAAAATCCCGTATGACAAAAGAATATGCATATGTGGGGTAAACGTCGTGGAGGACACGGCGCATATAATATTCGAATGTAGTCTCTATCAAGAAGTAAGAAAACAATATCTGTCCCCAATTATAAATAAATTTCCCTACTGGAATATAAGCCAAAAACTAGCATTTCTGTTGAGGGCTGACTCTCCTCCCCTGGTAAGAGCGATCACTCGATATCTTAAAAAAATGACAGCAATACGAGCCAGTTATATCAAAAAACATTTTATCGATTGTAAGGAAGATGAGCTCAGTTAGAGAGGAGCTATCCTATTTGGGTTATCTAGTCTTGGCTATTGAAAATTGATATTGTAAAATTTTAACGTCATCTATCATATATTTTTAAATTGCTATTTTTGTAACCGTTTTACCTTTTTCCCTTTTTCTTTTCTGTTTTGTTTGAAAAGGCCTTCGGGCTATTCAATAAACTATACATACTATTATACAAGAGGGATTTAATGGATCCCTCAAATTAAGGTCTTTGGGTGACAAGGAAGGAAGGGGAAATGATCTCTCTATAGAATGTCAAGCATATTCATCAAGACAGATATAAAAAAGACACAGTGAGCTTTCAGCTGAAAATCACTAGCTATAGGAACAGAGGTAGAATAAATGCAGAATTATTTTGCTGGATATTAAACAACAAACATGGAAATGGATGAAAAGAATGAAACAAGGAGCTGTTGGCTGAATGAATGGGATTAAAAATACAAGCACTGAATTCCAGAAGGATTATTTGATAAATATGTATGGGGGTAGCAGTGTTATGAATATACAATGGAAACAAATGCTAGTGTCAAAGAAAAAAGGATGGAAAAAGGAGTAAATGCTCCTAGTAAATGCTGTGAGAAAATGATGAAAAATTGTGAGATTTTGGATACAGATGGTATAATGTTTAAATACACATGTGGTTTAATTATGGACTGTGTGAAGTTTATATACAAATATACAGCAGTAAAGGTAATAAGAATGAATCCAAAAAATACAGAGGGATAAGACTAATAAGGATGTCTGGGAAAGGCAAACCTTAAAGGTTTTAAGTAGAGGCAATTAGCAAAATCTGGAAAATGCAGCGAGACTTTATTCCATGTGGGCAATGTGCCAGCCAGATGCTTATTCTTCAGAATGTCACTGAGAAATTTATGAATATGAGAAAAAAAGAGAAGAGTACATAGGCTTGAAGTTGCAGGCAAATGTTAGATTGCAAGAGGCAACAAGAAGTGTGGATCTGAAAATCGTCAATATCTAAGATTAAGATTTGACCCTTTGCAGAATGTCTTACTAACGATAGAAAAATCAGTGGGAACATTTTAAGACACATAAATGCTGGTAGCAAGGTGGTACATGGTTTACTGTAAGGAATGATTCCTGAGAGAGCTGAAAATAGTAGCCTAGAAGAGACTGCTTTTGCTCACTTTGGTATACGGAAATGAATATTGAGTATGATAGGAGAAATATTTTATTTTAAATATTTTAAAATCAGGCTGATGTGTTCTAAATCAGAACACATCAGCCTGGTATCTACGAGACCACCTTCTGCCGCCAATAGCCTCCCACCGGCCAGTTTGCTCGCACAGAGAGGGCCTCCTCAGGATGCCGTCGGCCAGACAATGTGGGCTGGCGACCCCCAGGGGGAGAGCTTTCTCTGTGGCAGCACCTGCCCTCTGGAACAACCTACCCCCAGAGATACGCACGATACCAGACCTCCGGACTTTTCGTCGGGCCCTGAAAACACATCTATTTCATCTAGCCGGGCTGGCTTGACCCCATCCTTATGGTTTTAAATTTATAATTGGTTTTAATTGGGTTATTTTAAATTGATGGCCAAAATTATTTAATGTTTTTTAAATTGCTTTTAAATTTTATATGTTGTGTTTTTACCATGGCTGTTCACCGCCCTGAGTCCTGTTGGAGAAGGGCGGTATACAAATTCAATCAATCAATCAATCAATCAATCAATCAATCAATCAGGGGTCTCTAACCTTGGCAACTTTAAGACTTGTAGACTTCAACTCCCAGAATTTGTTAGCCAGCAAAGCTGGCTGATGAATTCTGGGAGTTGAAGTCCACAAGTCTTAAAATTGCCAAGGTTGGAGACCCCTGTTCTAAATGGGTACTTAGCACTAGAAATAGCACTTAGATTTATATACCACTTCATAGTGCTTTTACAGCCCTCTCTAAGTGGTTTACAGAATCAGCATATTGCCCCCAACAATCTGGGTCCTCATTTTACCGACCTCAGAAAGATAGGCTGAGGCTTGAGCCGGTGAGATTTGAACTGCCGAACTGCAGCTAGCAGTCAACTGAAGTAGTCTGCAGTGACTGCAGTGACAAGTAGCCTACTTGAGATATATGTAATAAAACAAGGATGAATGGCTGTTAAAACATTATGGATTGAGTACAAGTGCATGATTAGTATGAAAGTAGTATATGCTCAGTTAATTAATACCTTTAATTTCTTTGATTTAATGTTTGTTATGTCTGTTATTCCATTTTCTGTCGTTTGCATTATGCTGGTTACTCAGAAAGAGACTGCATGATGTGTACATGTTTGTCATTTGCTTTCAGAGAAGAAAATAAGAAAAGGAAAAACATTTGGGAATTGAGTAGCAACCTATATCTAGATGTAAAGTTTTGGATGCAAAATATAAATAAATAAATGAAAAGGAGATGAGCTGTTTATTCTGGAATCAGATTTTCTCTCTTTAAGAGTGCATGCTTTAATAATGATTAGTACGAGCTAAAACATTAGCTTATCTATCATTACATTATTTATATTGCCATATTACTTGCAGGATTCCAGTGAGGCAGAGATGACGGATCCAAACTCATTTCTGGAATATCCAGAAGGCATTGTGAAGTGTGAAAAAAATAGAGACAGTCTTGCCAGGAGCCCTATCAAACTGCTGGGAAGAATCAGCTTTGATCAGCAGAATCTCTCATCTCCTGATCAGTGGAAAACAGGAAGACAACTGGGAAAATGCTTGCAATTAGAAAGAAAGGTTATGTTCCCGGATGATAAAAGTACAAATTGTTTTATTTCCAATGGTGTTGTAAAATGTCAGCGTGGTAAATATGAACCAAGGTCAGAAAGCAGAAAAGAAAGTAACTCTGATTATGATGCTGAAGAGATGGTAAGTGAAAAAGAATCTGAACTACCATTTAATTGGTCCAACTGTTCACAGCAGTGGGATGAACAACTAAGTGAAGTTAAGGCACAAGTAGATGAAAAAAACAACTCTTCTTCTTCTTCTGGTTCCAAAGAACATTCTGGTATATTTTTCAGTGGATCCACCATTTCTGAGATTCCAATATGGCTTATGGAAGATTTAGATGGTGATGTATCACAGGTAACAGGAAAGTCAAGGAATTCTTCACTAGATGTTTCTGACTTTCAGAACATGGAATGGAAACAGTCTAATCCAGAGGACCATAGTTCCAAATCCAAGATTAGTCAATGTACACAAAGGTTTGGGCAGTGCAAAAATAAATGTAACATTGAAGCAGATGAATGTTCAGATATCAAATTGGGAAGGAACCCTGGGTTTAAGAAAATCAATGATCAAATCATAAATGTTACAATTAAACCAGAGAAAAATCAAGAGACGACACCTGCTAAATCACAAATGAAGCACCACAACAATGCAAACACTGGAAAGAGATGGAAGGCAAAATCCTCTTCGAGTGATTCATTCTGCAACGATTCGCCTTATCCTCCCTATCTCACAAGGTGTGGGCTCCATAGAGCATCCAGCAGAGGCAAGGATGGGGGACTCTCTGATGCTGATTATGCCACAGATGAGCCCAGTGAAGTTGAGGATTATGTCTTAAAAAGCTGTGGAAAATCATTTCCCAAGAAACTCAATGCTCAGAAACTCATGAGCCAAAAGAACAGCCCACAGACCACAAGCAGCAGCAGCAGTAGCAGTGAATCTAGTCTCAGAGATGGCTGCTTGAAATATGAAAAGCCTTTCTCTTCCCATATGGCATCTCCTTTTCATCCCCAAGAAGCCACAAGAGTTCAACGAGAGCCTGAAATACTGATCAAGAGTATTGCAAGCAATTATGGTGGAGAACTAAATTGGCAGGCTCCTTCTCTGAGAAATGATCTTGTGGCTCACCTCTTCCCTGTTTTCAAGAGCAAAGCAAATCCAGAACATAGGAAAGACACTCAAGGTAATTTGAAAAATATATGCTCTACTAATGCAGTCATCCTATAGGAGGCTGGCTGGGGTATTCTGGGAGCTGAAGTCCGCACAGAACAAAGTCGTTGAAGTTGAGACACACTGCTTTATACCGAGGTTTAATGTTGGTAGAAGGTTTTCTTGAACTAGGCTGCCACCATTCAGGCTGAGCTTTTTAATGTAGCCTCTTCTAATCTGTGAGACTGGGAAATTCTTGGCCTTTTTCTCAACATTTACCTTCAGCTTAGCTTTAGGAAAACTAGGGTTGGGCAGATGAATTTTGAATCTTCTCATCCCAAAGGACAAGAGGGGCAGAGGACAGAACTTAGAAGATCTAAGGTCAGTCCCAGATTCACCGTGGGGTAGCTATGCGCCGGTGCATGCGACAAAGGTTTTAATGGAAAATTCCAGTGTTCAATCTCTTTTAATGAAGAGATGAAGCCAAATCTCTTGGTTAAAAAAAAAGGAGTTTATTAGGCATAAAAGGAAAGAAAGAAAATTAAATAACAAGGCATGCACAAGCTTTCCAATAAATCAGTACATTAGACCAACTTAACTAGCTACGTATTATCTCCTTGAATAAGAGGTTTCAGCACATGTTCAGAGTTCATTGCAGAAGATAAAGTTGGAGGTCATCTCGACCTTCTGATTGGATGTTACCAGGGAGGTTCCCCTTGCTGTTACCTTTTTCTCATGCATTATTCTTATCTTCTTTATAGAAGGCAGAGCGTAATTAAAAGCTAGACTTTTTGGAGATGCAGCCTGTAACTTCGCCCAGTGAATGTACCAGCTCGGATGAGTCTAGTCTAGTAGCTAAACTGCCTTCCTGATGATCCTTAAAACAGTGATGAAAATATATTCTGATTTTCATCAAGTGCATAAAAGGGATTATATAAGAGAGGACTTAAAAAAAATACATAGGAGCCGAATTCCATCTGCTTAGAGCTTCCAGCACAATGCAATTCTAATGTGCTTCATTGTGTCATACCATAGGATAGGGATTTGTTGTGAATGCTTTATAATTGTTAGAGATGAAGTAATTCTTTCTACCTTTTATTCTATTAACCACTGAGGACAAGAGGAGAGATAAAAAAAGAATTCTCTTGGCTCTTTGTCTTGTCTTTGCTTTGTAAGCCTGATAACAGAAGGCTCCCTTTTTTAATTGTTTCCTACAAAAAAAATATTAAAAAAAATAAAATTGCTTCCATCCTTCCTTTTTCCCACTCTGTAATGAGGGGAGGATCTCAAAGAGAGGCAGTCCTTCTGTCTAAGCATATAACCTCCTTAATAATAAAAGGGATTAAATTTTTCAGAGTTTAAGCACTGGATATTTTTGCTGATTTTCACTGAGCTTGGTACTCCTTACCTATACTGTTATGGATACAGATCTATTGAATGAACTGGAGGATTAAGATTAAGTCAACAGGTTCCCTTCAATAATTTTAATAAAGCTGTGATAAGAAGGACCATCAAAATAACATTTAGATTATCATTCCTCTGAAAGTTAATTCAAAATTGGGTGACTTCATTGAACTGCAATTTTGTGGCAGGGTGGGAAATTGAGGGGAAGATAAATTGATTATGCAGATGCAGGTTACATATGATACCAATTACAAGTATCTTACCAATTAACATGTATAATGTTGTAAACATCCACTGCAGTGGTGGGTTGCCCCTGGTTCGCACCGGTTCTATAGAACCGGTAGTAAAAC